GGAAACAAAGAACAGGAAAAAAACAAATACTGATTTCCCTAGATTAAATCTGCCATAGCATTGCAATAATGGAAGCATTCTAGGCATATTCTAAACAGGAGATTTAACTATTTTAGTTAATGAATGGCAAGATTTATTTCTTTTAGAAGGATATTAACAGTCTGGAGAGTAAGACTGATCCTAATAAACTGGGAAAAGTAATCCAAGCTTTCACAACAGATAAAAATATAGGTGAATTCAAGGCACAGGCATTTTCAAAATCAACACACATTATTTTCTTTGGAACTAATAATACAAAGTAAGCCATAATTACATTATCAACATGCTGTACAGAGGGGCTTTTATGTGCATTACTTACAACAGCATTATCAGAAAATGATCACAAAATTATTCACGTGCACAGACGTGCGCACAAACATCTGAGCATAGACCGGAGCACTACAGCAGAAAAAAAGCAATGTTCCTGTAAATAGAGTTCTTAGACAGTAATGTTCGTTACTCAAAGTATATAGCCCTGATAACTTATGTGTATTGTTAGTTACGGAAGACAGCTGATGCAAGGCCAGCATGCAGAGAACAGGCGATTGACACATCTGGTTTGGGGTTGGAAGGAGGCTGCCATTTTGTAGCAATGCTCACAGCACTGACACAGTCAGGATAAAGTGACAGCGAGATGCATTTTTATTAATGACACCTGAAATGAAATTCAACACTCGGGAACCTTGTGTGCTAGACGTGTTTAAAAGAATCACTGGTTGGCCCCCAATCAGATAGCACATTTCTGCTTAAAAATCTCATCTGAACTTGTAGACTCCTTTTCTGAGTATATATTGCTCAGATTTTTTAACCAGACACAACAAACCATTAAATTTGTACTTGCCTGTGTGCACAAGACTACATTCAGATGAAAACATTCATTTTGCCTCACAGTGATCAAGTCATGTGAGTTTCTCAATGCTCTTGAATTTTGCCATCTTCAGTGGTAGAACAAAGACAACCACATATACTTGCCTAGTTGGGCAGTTAGGAAAAATGAGCCTTTGGCTTTCTTGAACATTGCCACTAGAAGACAGCATCTTTATCACTCCAACTGAGTTCAGTGAGTTGACCAACATGAAGTATTTTTACCACCTGAGTTTCAGCATCTGGAATTGCAAAGTTAAGAGCATCCAGCATGTCTTTGTTTCAGCAAGCCCAGCCAAATGCACGAGCACCAAATGCGCTGCGTTTCCTCCTGCCATCTCTCACCGCCGCTCCAGGAGTTTCTCATCTCTATGGAGCTAGGCTAAGTTCGCAGCTCTGCCTACCTGCTAAGAGTGAACAGCTCCAGCACACCACCATGCCTTCGGCAGGAGGGAAACCTGAAGTCACGCAGGGAGCAGGACTGCTGCTTTTTTTGTCCTTGCAGCTCAAAACAAAAGCAGGATAAATTGAGCAATTATCTAAGATAACGCAGTGAACTCGGCTATTTTGAGGAAGTAGCTGGCGCAGTCAGCAGTATGCTTGCTCTCAAGCACAAGTGACCAAAGCTTCCTCTTGGAATCTCTGTCACGGTGAGCACCTCCTCTTAGAAACAAAAGCAATCTTTGATGAGAACTGCATTGGTGCCAATTAAAATAAAAAACCAACAGTACAACTCTGGACACTTGGTGCTTGCATAGAAAGCACAGTGCCTAATCCTCACCACACATATTGGGCACAGACCATAAAATGAATCATCTGGTGGTACAAATGGAAGAGATCCCACAAATGATGCCTACTTAAGCATTGCCAAGAAGGGAACCTACAGGTAAAACTAAACGATTACCAGGCAATGCTACATGCTTGATGGCTGTAAAATGAGGAAATGCATGGTACACCTAAAAGTGGAAGGCTACAGGCTGCACAGTATGCAGTACTGAAGTTGGCTATTCAGAACCTTCTTGAAGCCAGGCTGCAAGGAAGCATCAACTTCTTTTCAATTAACATCATATTGCTAAGAACAGAAGGATGTAACTCATGAAGTGGACATCAAAATGCAGAAGGAAAACATGTACTCTCATTTCTTTTGAAGAGTGAAACACTTTAAAGGTACTTATCTGTTTAGTGGAGTGAAATATTAGACAACTCTTAGAATTTTTTAGATGTGACTTTGGAAATACTTGAGCCCTCTTCCCATGTATGGTGAGACTGAAGTTGCATCTTTGTGCAGGTGTCTGCTTTGGAGCTGCCAAACCTATTACCATTAATGACAGCAATCTTTTGATTATATTAGACAACATTAATAGCTTTCTCTCCTAGTTGAGACCAAAAAACCTCCGACTTGCTGCTGAAGCCTGTAAACTGCAAGCAGCCAGATATGTGTAATAGTGAGAGTTTAAATCTTTGAATTCATCTACACCTAAGTGAAATGCATTGGAGAACAGGTGGCTCAGGAATGCGACTTCCAAATTAAGGCATCCTTCTAGAAAAATGGTACGTTTTCATTAAACCAAAGTTAATTGTTCTTTTTTAGTACATCAAAAAATAATTGTTGTAACAGAGCAGGCCATAAGTGCAAATTATTTATAGAGTCAATAAGCAAAAAAAGTTTACCGCTTGTTTTAAGGAAATCATTGCATGATTAACTGCCATTTTACCGACACTCCACACATGTAACTGTTCAGCATTGAATACCGGTTCTCAAGAACTGTAAGCAGAAGTTTTCTTCTACATCTACATTTCTGCATTTACTGGTTCATTAAACACCGTCATTTTCAAAATAATAGGTAACAGTAAAATTTTTACGAAAAAGACAACTAAACTATAAAATGAATATTCAAAACCATAGAAAGCAGTATCTTACTATTTACAGAGTAGTGCAGTATTATAAACACAGATTTAAAGATACTTATACATAAATGACATTGTTCTACACCTACAGAATAAAGAATGTTTTAAAACAGTTTAGCATGACAATCAACATTACAAGTCTTAATACAAACAAGAAGGAAATCAAAGGAAAGGAGACATTTTTCAAATTGCATCTCTAATGAAGTGCTCCTGTAATTTTTTTACATTTTCATTTACAATGATGGCACAAGTTTTATACAGTATTAGTATATAATATCAGTTACTGGGCAATTACCATTGCTATCAACAGACCTTATTCACAGGTACTGAAATTACCTTTTCAAATTAACACTTAGTGAGCAGAAACACAAGGAACTTAGAAAAGGATTAATTTATCCGATTCATTTCTCTTATGCTACTGAGGGACTTTCTTTTTAGGGCAATGTGAACGTACATGCTTGGGGACTGACTTCCTAATTACATTACTGATATGCAGAGATTTGTATTTTATCAGTATTCTTAACATATACAAAGCAGTGTTTGGTATTCAGCCAGAAACTGAAATTTGTGTCCTTTCCTGAGGTTACAAGTTAATGCATCACAAAGTGCAGCTCCCAGTGTTCTTTAAAAGTCATGACCGTATGTTACTGAAAATGATGACTCCCAGTTTGGCATAGTTTCACCGAGGGTCAGAATTTCCATCTCATTAAATACTCTGGGAAAACAGATGAAGAAAGTCCAGTGGAACAAACGACGTTCCAGAGATGGTGCTTGTTTTCACCCTCCTGAGCAAGCACGGAGACCAGAACCCTGAGGCCAGGGCTGTCTCTGCAGGGGCCTTATGGTGGTTTTTTCCTGCTCTGGCACTGACCAACTTCCCTACTGGCTGCTGTCCTCAGAATTCCTTTGAAAGGCAGTTCCTGAGGTTTTTGGTGATTAACAGGAAATTGGTACACAGACAATCCTATTCATTTTCCAACTCTCAAGTGCTATTTCAGGTTTTTATGAACTTGTGCCTCAACTATAAACTGTGTACTGGAAATAAAAAAGACCTAGTATAGAAATCTAGGGAGGACTTAAAAAATACCCTTACTAAAGAAAAAAAACAACCACCACCAAACCCAAAAAGGGTCAAAATACAGGCGCTTCCTAGACTTCAAAACATGTTATGTAGGAGTTACCTCATATGGCTACATGGACAGGTCCACAGATACCTTTCTGGTGAGAAGAGGGACCTTTTCAGAACTTCTTTAATCTGTGGCCAAGCAGCTTATACAGTAGTTTAACCGTGCTGGAGTAAGTGATTGTCTGAAGAAAGGCCAAGAAATACTTGGTGGGTACTCTGCCATCTATGCAGATGAGATATACAAAAGACCGACTGATAAGCTGTAGGGTGTAACCTAAGTCCCTGCCTCTATCATCAGGTAATTTACAATGTCATTCAGAAAAGCAGAAGAACCCAGAGTTCATCATCCTTTATTCCTTGTTCAGAGATACTTCGCAGTAAGCGAAGAGTGAACCCAGTAACTTTCAGACTTCAGCAACACTATTCAAAAAGTTAAGAACTGGGACTCAATCTGCTTCATAGATGCACACCTACACTCCAGTGGTCACTAGTTTTCCAGGTCATATAGTCTTGTACTCTGATAAACATTCAGCAACACTATGAATAAGGCCCATAGTGGTAAGATACACGATTGTCACTGCAGTGTGTTGCAGTGGCTCACTAAACAACCAGTTTCTCTCTTAGAAAAAAAGCATTCCTCAAAGATTCTAATATTTGTCCTATGTAGATTGTTTTGTTGGGGTTTTTTTTTGTTTTGTTTTTTTAATGCAAACCACACATGATCTGACATAAAACCTACTTGGTTAAACCAAGTAATCTGCTTGTAAGAATGCTGTGCATATGGATTATAATTATATAAGCTTTTTTTAATTGTAGGTAATTTAACCTAGATGATTCTTTGGAATTTACTTGCCTATGTGTTTTTCCAATTAGCAGAACCTGAAATACCTTGCAGATACCACTTCTTAGGACACAGGCACAAATGCTTATTAAGGCACTTTCCCCAAAAAGCTTCCAAGATTTTAACTGCTGATCACACATAGGGCAAACTTTCTGAACACTAGTACAATGTACTACTACTGCTCTCGTATCAGAGCCTGTAGCAGATATAACTGAACTCTGGTTACTGGATAGATTTGTAGACTTGTTTTTAAAGTTAAATTAACCCCTTTTTGTAAAGGCACAGGATATAATTTTATATGACACTTAGGTAGGGAAAGGGCATTTTCCCATTTCAGGAATCTTTAAAAAGCCTGTCTTGCAGCAGACCGCTGGATGCATTCATGCCATCTTCTTTTTTGAAGAAGAAAATTACAGTTTAAAGCCTTTTTCATTATATCTATGAATCGTCACACAGCCGTGATACGATACTGGCCTGGGCATGGCTGCTACTCCTGTGATAATGCCCGTTGCAGGGTCATAACAAAGAATAGTGTCTGTGGCTTCACCATTTTCTCGTCTTCCACCAAGGATATAGATTTTTCCATTACACACAGACATGCCACAATTCTCCTGTTTCAAAATACACAAAGAAATAAACGATTATTTACAAAACAGGACCTCAATTCCTGCATGTCTACAACAGCATTGTGACTACCATTTGTGAACAGACTGGCCTATCCTATTCCCTCCTGAAAGGGCTAATGCAGAAAGCACAATAACTGGGGAAAGCAGCAGCACAATCCTACAGAAAAGACTATTTCGGGTCTAAGCCTTCAACTACACATAGCTCAGACAAGGAAAACAGTGGAATACAGCTGAACACTGTACTTTCCATTTCATCGTCTGAGATAAGGAAAGGAGGAGAGAACAAAGGTTTTTCAGAAGAGGGACCAAAGCAGGTACTATTAATGCAAAAAGTGGGAACAAGGAGAAGCACCTTAGCGGAGTAACAGATAATGAAGAGGGATGTCAACAGTGGAGAGGAAAAGTGCCATGAATAAGAAAAGAGTGCATAAGAAAAAGATAGCCTATGTCTTACTTGAAAGAAAGAGGATTTTATTTCTTCCTTAAAAGCAGGCATGGAAAAAATAGTCATTCAAACAGAGAACATAGATCAAAACAGAGGAAGAGAGGGAAGGTCAGGAAAAAGAGGAGCAAATTTCTGTTAAGGTAGATACCATAGAGTATGTGATTGATGTTTTAAAAACATAGGGAAAATTAACTGATACACACACACTTTACCACTGAGGGGAAACATTCATTAATTCTGCTCAGTGTTCCATATGTGCAAGTGATACAGCTTTTGCTGCTAAAGTCAGATGCTTTCTGTGCTATACAGTCGAGTTTTTTCTTCACACTGTAAAAAGTCTTCAATATTTTTTGTTACACTGAAAGGCTTTAATCGGTTATAAGAAAATTACTATCTTCAGTCTAAATTAAAATATGCAGCAGAACTTGACAGAGATCAATTTCTGTACAGTGAAGACATCATCCATTATACTGTTACACCATTGTCCAACAGTAACTGCTCTCAAACCACAAGACTGGACTGGCTAACAGTGACACCCAGCTGAAAAGCTACTGGTTTAGAAACTTCCTCTTCTGTGGGGTTTTGAATTATACAGATGAAGAACTAAAGCAAGAACGGAATCAGAGATGCAATTTTAATAGGGTTAAACAAGTGCACATTCATTTCATGCCAAGATACTCATGTAAAAAAATACCGTTCAGATGTCTACAGGCCTTCTAGTGTTAATTACCTGTCTGCTGAATGTATTCTGTACATGCATCCAGTAGTCCTCAATTGGATCATAGCAGTATATTGCTTTGGTAAGTCCACCAGCAACATAGATCAGATTGTTTAAAGACACAGCCGTAATACATCTTTTTGCGATAGGGATAGTTGCACGGAGCAACCAAGAATTAGTATCGGGATCGTAAGACTGAACCTGAAAACAAATACATGCATTTCAGATTAAAAGCCTAACTGAAATAACAACCTGGCACACCCACACAGCTTATATGAGGAAAGACAAAGAAGCAATATCTGGTGGGCAATACCTCACCAAGAAAATGAAGTCTATATACATCATATATTCAATATATATGATTGAATATATGATGTTCTGATATCAATAATGTCTGTATATGCACTATATTCAACATTGTTTTCCTAACAGTTTAAGAATTCACAGAACCCGTGAAGCCAACGACAGTGCCCACGAGAAAGACCACAATACCAGTATGTTACCGAGTTAACGTTTTCAAATCCGTATTTTTTTGTATTATAATAATTCCATACTCTATTCAGCAAACCAGTTAAAACAGATCCCTGAATGATCTAGTTTTAAACCAGCAATACTATTTACCGTGGATAGAAGATGCAATCAAATACAATTAACTGACCTTGTCAGAACACGTGTTGTCATCAGGACCACCCCCGATCACAAACAGTTTGCCCACGCAGCTGGTGACTGCTGGAGAGCTCACAGCTTCTTTAAGGGGAGCCACTTCTGTCCATCGATTGGAAAACGAATCGTAACACTCCACACTGCTGAGACGGTTTTGCCCATCGTATCCTCCAACAACATATACCTATGCAAAGTGGTGAAAACTATCATCATTTCATTTTTAGGGCAGTTATTATATTTAAATAGGACATTAAAGTGTCAAGAATCCTAGGTTTGTGAAGGGATACTTTCCTCAAATTTTTAGTTTATACATAGGAGGAGAAGAATATGGTCTAAAAATAATTGGTAAAGACTCTCTGGAGAGTTCAGTTCAGTCACACGTGGAATAACAAAGCAAACACATGTCCAAAGCAGAGTATTGTTAATACTGAGATAGAAACGTCCTATTTGAATGGCATGTGTTAAGAAAGGCACTTCTCTGCATTTCTCTCTTTACAGATTCCATTCAGCAACAGCAAAAGTCCACCTGAATCTACCTTTGCTTTTCTGTGTTTTACTTTTTTCCTACTTGCTTACAATACTATTTTTTCCTCTCACTTTGTAACCTTTTTTAACTTTCCTGTTGCTTCTCTCATATTTAAGAAGCAGAGCTCCTTAGTATCTGTGTCTCCCTTCTTCCCTCTGTTTGCTCCAGCTGCAAGTCTCATCTCCAAGGGACACCACATGTAGATCTTCCCTAACTTTCATTGACGGAATCCTCACAAGCAGTTGATTCCAACTACTGTTTTTATGTTAAGGCATATACGCCTTCAAAATACAGCAAAACCTCCCATTTCCCCACAGCATATATTTGGTTAATTTCAATATAAAACATTAAATAAAAGAGCACAGAGCTGACATTCAGAGCAGTACCAGTTTCTGTTAACAACTCCATGAACTGTTGAACTTTTGACAGGACTTCTGAAGCACAGGCAAATCCAGATGCTTATTTGCCTCCCAAAAAATTGCTTCTTGGGGACAAGACACTTCAATGACAAAAAAACCCGCACCAAAAAAAAAAATCTGAGGGGTAATATGATTTTCATGTCCACAGACAGTGTCTGACTGATGAAGAGTAATTGTTAAAAATATACTTTTATTTGAAAATAGGTATTTTCAAAATTATTTGATAGGAAATACGAAGTAATACTAAATATGTACATATGTTTTCTCCATTTTCTAATATACAGCAGACATACCCACTATAAAAATAAAAATATAAATACATTTCTCTTACTTTACCAAGAAGAACAGCCATTTTATGACGCCATCTGCCTTTATTTAAGGAGGCAACTCTGATCCAAATGTTAAGTTGAGAGTTATAAATCCAAACATCCCGGCTATTGATTCTTCCACCTTTAAAAACAAAAATATGCCAATTTGAATAAATTCACGATTGAATGAGAAGTGTTAACTATTAACATGACCCTCTGCAGTGGGCAATGAAAACTTTATAACCTTTTTAGGTGAAATAAAGATCTATCTATATAAGTTAGACTGAAAAAGTCAGTTTCAGTGGATTTCAAACATGAAAACATACAGTAAGTCCCTTTACTTTTGTGTGCCTCTCCCAGTAACATGCTGGGATCACAACAGATTATTTCTTGAGATTGGAATGCATTTTAATGGCTTTTGCCCATGCTCTTCAGATTTCCTTTTGTGTCACTACCTGGATGAGACACTTGAAACCTTAACCATTTATGCGCCTCGTGGCCCATCCCTAATGCTACCTGTTCCCCTACCTGGTTCGTGCATACATCTTCAGTTTAAGTTTGTTCAAATGACACAGGTACCACAAATCCGAGAGCTTCTTTGGGTAAACTAACAGATGGGGCTTGGTGTCTAAACTATCAGCTGTACCCTACAATTTACCCTTGCTAAAAGGCTGAACGAGAGGTGTTTAAAAACTGATAGCTATTGCTTATTTCACAGTAAAAGGCCGGTGTAAATGGATCCCCAACTCAGGTACTGAAAGGAATTTGTTTCCAGTTTACATTCCCACAATGAGAAGAAGCTTTAACTGTTCTTCCTTTGGAGTCTAGGCAGCGAGTCACCAGTAACCTACCAGTGCTGCAGTGCTCCTAGGCAACTGGGATTTAAAGCAGCACACAGCACCTTTTGTAGCAGAGAGAATGCTACTGGGAAAAGACTGCTTGGGATTTTTTGCTTGCAAGTTCTCCAACTGTTGCTGCAAACAGGCCACTACTGTATTTTAAAGCAGCATACTTAACAACCATAAGTTAGACTCTTTAAATACAATTGATATTCTGGAATCAGCTGTAAAAAAACCTGTCGATTAATTTAATACCAAAAATTAAAAAATCCCAGAAAACACTTTTGTGTACAATAAGATTGGTTTGGGGCTGGTGTTCAACATTTACATCAGAAAGTGACTTTCAGTTCAGCTTCTGGAAGTTCACAGTACAAAGATCTGCCACATTACTTACAAAAAAGCAAACAAACAACAAAATCTTAATTTTTTTAGGATTATTCACCTGAAACAAGAATATCATTCCGCAGAGCGCACACCGCATACTCAGACTTGGTAAACTCTGGAAGTTTAGCCAGTGACTTCCACTCTCCTGTTACAGGATCGTAGCACTCAGTGTATGGCAAATTAAACCCTCCAACTCGTTCACAGCCTCCAACAACAACTATCACCTCAGAATAACCAGTTGATCTAAAAAAGCAAACAGAGAAAACTAGGATGTAGAAGATATTTATTAGTACATGGAGGCCAAACAACATTGTCTTCAAAACTGTGTTGAAATAGGGAAGTTTACTATTTGGCATCAACTTCTACAACAAAGAAAAAAGAAGAAAGTCATTTAGCAAACTAGAGGTTTTCACTGTTTCCAGCTGTCTTACTACACAGCAGGTTACCACACCGACAGGTGTCCTGGAGTTGCACTGCTCAACCTTATATGTACAAATCAAATAATTAAAAAAATACAGAAAGCCCTTACTCTAATAATATTTTTTCTTTGACTGTGTACGTAGAGGTATCAGAAATAGAGTTCAAGTGAGGCCTGAGACAATGAGATGAGCAATCTGTTTCACAATGAAACCAGTCCCCAAGTTTTACAAAATTCATAGTACTTTACATGGCTTAAATATTCAAAAAGTTTAAAATATTTTAGGTTATTTCCTGCCAAAAACCCTGAAGGCATTTACTCATCAAAATAAGGTAAAAGACAGCTTAAAGTCAACGCACAGTCAAAGTGAAAAACAAGTGTAGTGATAGAAGGAAACATTAAGGAATACTGAATTAAAAATTCAAGCCTAAAACAAAAACTAAAACTCAGTGTGAAAAATTAAGCATTAGACAGTCTGCAGTGTACACAAATAAGCCTTTAAATTCTATTCCACAATCTCATTCTCCTTCTACTAACCTGATGCTTCTGCATTATACTTATTCTATATTCGCAGCAGTAACAAAACTCATTATATGTTGATCCACATTTGAATGTAGAGAATCAACCATCTTTGACGTGCAAATCTAACTATGACCAACTTTCATTCCTCCTCTCAAATTTCTAATTTCTTGTAAGCATTTGTTAAAATCCTTTCTTTTCAGGGCATTTTTAGATTAAAGGATTTTGTACGAATGTAGCTATTTCAAGAACTGCTATCTATTAATTAAGTAAAACTGAATGCAAGATTGTTTTTATTTTTGGTAAGCCTTTTTGTTGAGTTGTGCTTTAATTCTGACCCCAATACGAACAGACATCTCATTCATACCATTGCTGAGTACTGCAGTCCTCTCCTTAAGAAAAAATATGACTTATGACTGCATTGGAGATAAAAACTGCATGACCTGTCCCCGAATTTCCTAACATGAACTTATGCACATATTAACTTATAAATCCTGATGACGTTTTCCCCATTTTGAAACATCAGGAATAAAATGAATTAGCCCTTCTATCTCCTTGTCACCACACACCACAATTTAAATATACCATATATATTTCTAGTCAGAATATTTTAAATAGGCAAAGGCAATGCTAAATGAAAAGGTAGTGTAAGATTACATAATGAAGATAGGTATCTGAAGAAGCATACTTACACACCTGAACTAGTCAGAAGAAACATTCTCTTCAGCTCTCAGCTTTGAAGTCATGCCCGTTCCTGGTTTCTATGTATTTACTGTTTTTTTGCTTTTTTTGAGGAACAACTCTGAAAAGAGTCTCTCAAAGGATAAGAGAGGGGAGGTTCCTGTGCCAACAAAGCATTACCCAGAAAGAGAATTTCCTTAAAAACAAGACACTGATCTCAATTCGCCTTAGAAGCAAGCCCAAATACATCAGCTAATGGTATGTACAAAAGAGGTTTGTCTGTTGATTACTTTCTAGATTAGAATCAAGGCCTCCACTTACCTACTGAAAAGCTGTACCAGATTATCAATCTTTATTTTAAAACTAAAAGAACCGAAAATCTTTTATCAGAGAGCTCTTTATGAATTGCTATGATGGAGTTTTGCTTTTTAAAGAAAATATTAACTTAGTACAGTATTTCAAATCCACAGAAAACAAAAAATTTTCCCAACATTTTAGTATCCATATAACCATATCCTTTCCTCAGTTAAGGAAGATTTTCTCTGTTACATTTTCTTGAAGGAGTCTTGCACTGTACAGGTTTTAAGGTTAGTTCTGAAAGATTTTTTTAAATGATGGAGAGCACATCAGTTTAAAAAAAAATTAAAAATGTGGGAGTACACAAAACAAACATACAGGCAAAGGCCAATTCCAGAAAAGAACTAAGGATGTATTTAATGGATATTAGAAAAAGCCGTGACCTCACTCAGGAGTACAAAAATCCTCCTTGTAGCCCTCAGAAGAAGCAGTGTGAGCAAAATAACAAAGGTGAGCTAAAACAGGCAGTAGAGAGATTCCAGGAGACACCCTCCTGTCAGGAAGAGGTGCACAAAATAGAAAAGGGTGAGCAGAAGACAACCGACAGTGTCATATAATCCCAAGAGCAGTTTTCCAAGGGTCCTGAGTTAGATGCAGACCTCGAGACGAGCTGAGAACACCAACCAGCACAGCATCAGCTGGACAGAAGAACTTTCAGTAGTACAAACAGACAACATTCAAAAACATTTTAAGTCTGGGAGACAAATCACAGGAATTCTGGTTAATCACTACTTTTTCTCCTCCCCTGTTAATTCACTTTTGGATGGTAAATGAGATAACAGACAGAAATATGAAGTGAAATAAAACCTCATCTCCTCAGGGGAAAAATAAGGGACTACATTAAAGCTTTCTAAATGCAACCAAAAAGGATGTTAGAATATATAAATGCAGTAACTTCTAACTAATTAAACAGAACACTCATATATTGTTATCAGACAGCTTAACAGTAACTGTGGGATCAAAGAATTCACAGGTACATGAAAATCTGAAGATAATTCAAAGCATACTGTAGGAAGAGCCTGTTTTGTTTTGTATATGGAAATGTATTATTTCTCACTGCCTGATCTCAGCTGGGAGATCTGCTGTGCAACACAACCAGCAGGGGACAAGAGAGACATAAAAGGAGCGTGAGAGACAACCTCAAGATGTCACTATGTCGTTGCAAGTATATAACTGAAAAGCTCTTTCAAAAAGACCTTCTGCATGTGCCAATGATGCAAGCAGGCAACCGTTATGCCACATTTTAAACTTTTATTTACTTCAGGTAACTCTTCACTGCTGCCTTCATAAAGAAAAAAAAATCAACTGTGAATCGCAATCCACAATGTTCTTTTGAAAAATGCGTAGAACCCACTTCACCCGTAGGTGCCTACATAGCCATACAAGGACTCACAAATAATTTCCAGAAGTTTCAGTGAAAACACTGGTGTGGGAATTTCTGATACTGCAGCCTGTCTCCTTTTAGAAACAGTTTATACAAAAGAGAAATTAGAGGAAGGCAAGAAAGAAGGAAAAGAGCTCTCCAGCATCCTCTCCTCCCCAAGCCCCCTCCTCGAAATGCGCAGAAAAGGTGTGATGAAAACATGGGGGGGAAGGGGGACCTGGTAACTGTTTTAAAACATGATCTCTTTTTGCTATAGGCAACAGAAAAAAACAGGCAACAGAAACAAATGACAAAGAAATATTCCATGAATGTAATATAGAAAAGGGGAAAAAATTCCTGCGGGGAGGCCAGCCAGTTTTTCTCTTTGTAAATTACTTCTCTTGTTCCTGCCTACTGGAATTCACAGTGCAGTTTAATAAGCCCAGCAGTAAAACCAACAAAACCCACAAAGCAACACCCTCCCCCCAGCTTCAGAAACAACCTGTATTAGGCAAGGTACTTCATTACAAACTGGAATGCTACACTGAGGCTGTTCGGATTCTCAAGTACATACACAGCATGCACTTTGACAAAATTGTTAGGTCTGAATGTATTTGCTTTCTTTATCAAACCGAGTAATAAACGTACAACGAATACCACATCGAATACCACATTAAATACCACAGCATACAGCCCTCCCTCCAACTGCTCATGAAACAAGGTCGTCTTTGGTCTGAATTCCACGGTCCCTCCCTCAGACCCAGAGTCAGGGTATGAAATGCCTCAGAAACTGTCACTGCACCAGTTTCCAAACTGCCCTGTACCACAAGTCTCCAAAGACCCTCCATGGCAGTGTACAGCTTAGAAAACCTGGCAGCAGGGCTGCAAGGAGTTTAGGAAGAATTTCTTCTCCCACAGCAGGACTGAAAACTGGAAAGCCACTGAAGGGGCAAATGCTTGCTAAGTATTTCTTTTCCCCCTATAAGCAAGCCTTTAAGACATGCCAAAAGAAATAAAGGTTCCCTGCACAGTCACTGTACAGCAACCACATACGACCAAGAGTAAACAAAGAGGAGTAACTCCTAACACAATGTTTGTCCAGACCAGATCATTGCATCACCTTAACATAACACATGATTTCGTAACTACAGCTTCAATCAGCTGGACTTAACAATAAACTATCATGTCAGCTATCATGTGGAGGTAAGGCTTTTATTGGGAAAATATTTTTCAGGAAAAAGAATAATCACAACCACCATTGCTCATAAACACCACTAATGGACTCTTCCTCATTTCTTCCTGCAAATTCAGTCACTATTTGTGTAACACATTATTAAGTAGCAGCAATTCTGAATTATTAAAATGTCATAGAATAAGCATGAAATACTTCAGGAACTGTTTCATAATTCTTTAAAAATGCAAAATTTAGTTTCTTTACAGTTAAGAACCTGTTGTTCTGCTGTCCATTGTCCATGACAAATCCATGTACTACTCCATCTGTAAAGTATTTGTGATGTAGCAAGTGAATGCTCTGAATATATATCCCCATCCACATCCTGCTGCACACTTACATGACGGTGTTATAAAAGGAAGAAGGTTGGGAAATGGGATGGTTTACCTGCTCTAGCACAGTTAAGTTCTCTTCAAGACACTGCTATTGTACAAAGTAACTTAAGATCTCACCTAGCAAACATTAACCTTTAGAAAATACTTTTACTTGCAAGGTAAAATAACTTCACTTACCTGAACAGTCCTTTATTTCATAGGAATAACGTGATCTGTGCAAAAAGACTCACTTATGTACATTTTCAAGACACGTGTGAACGTCATGTGTTGTGGGGAAGTACAGAAGTGTGACTGTAGTGGCCATGTGTATATCAAACAGCTCTACGTTGACCTACGTCCTTCTTCTACAGAAATAAGGGGAGGGGGGGAAACAAGAAAAAGGTTTCCTCACCTGCGTGGCCTAGTTCTGGGAGACATCATCTCATTTCCAAGGATATGGTATCGCCGGGCTTCATGCAGCAGCTGATAGCACTCTGGGGAATTCTGAATCAGCTGGTCCACTTCCACAGTCTGAACAAAGTAGTTTGGATGTAACAACGGGAGTCTGACGTGCGTCAGAAGTTCATGTAACACTGGTCTTCGCAACTCAACTGCCCGGTACACCCAGCGCATGACAGCTTCAAACACCATCTCTTCCTTACTGATCACCAGTTCATCACTGCAAATGTAATCAATAAGCTCATCCTTCCCCAGTTCGAGGAACTCTTCGTGCTGGGACACATCCTCAAACGTCTGCAGCGCAAAATTCCTGCACTTGGTGAACAGTGTCTTGAGCGAGTGCGTATCTGCAAAGCGCTGGATTCCCAGGCAATTGCAAGGATCCAGCTGTTCTTCCAGGAACTTGGCACAGGCGTCACGCAAAACACTGATCTGAAAGAGACTTGATGTTTCAAAGAGATACTGCACGTTCTCTGTAGTGATTTTCACCTTGCCAGTGTATACATACTGCAAAAAGCAATCCATAGCTTCAGCAAAAATGCCATTGATCTCCACTAACATCTCTCTGCTTTCTCTATGATCGTTGCAAAACATAGCTCTGAAGTAGCTGCTGCAGGCCGAGAGAACTGCTCGATGGCAGGGGAACTCCCTTCCTTCCACACAGATAATAACATCCGTGAACAACCGGCTGTCTCGGAATTCATTGAAGATCTGGAGAATGCTTTCGGCATGGGATGATCCCGATGAGAAGTCAAAAAACTCAGGGCCTGACAATGATTTTGGGTCCATTTCAAAAACTTTCCGCTTGGTTGCAGGGGAATCTCGTATCCCACTATCCTCTCTATTCAGTCTGCGTCCCAATATTAGTACCATTGTTACATCAGTTGGCTATAGAGTCATTGAGAAAAGTTTGCAGAGTTTCTCCTTCGCAGTGCTACGGTCTGAAAAATTAAAACACTTCAGTATTCAGTCTGTTATATTCTTAACTTCATCACGAGAATTAGACAAGACGCTTGTTTGGTCACTCTGAGAACTGGTACAATTTTTGATCTTTACTAGAGGTGACACAACATTACAGGGCAAGTTAGCGTGCAACCTTGCGCAGGGCAATGCAGCATTATCTGCTACACGTTAAATACAAAATATACCCACAGAACAGGTGTCATGGATGGCAAGTTCTGAATGTCCCAGCACCACTGGCATTGCATTAAGTGTTCAAGATAAAAAACCCAAGATCTCTGCTACAGCAAATCACCTGACTGACAGAAGCCAAAGATTTCCTGGATAAAGATCCAGAGCTCGGGCTTTTCTCATTTTTCAGAATAATCCCCATTTCAGCTGAAGCCTCCAAGTACTACTAACAGCACTAGTCAAAAAGGGGGGAAAAAAAAAGGCTTAAATTTTAAAAATAAAAATTCAGTTGAGAAGTCATTCTATTTTCATTATAAAGTCTATCATAATGAAGTTTTATAATACTAACGTTCAGTAACATTCAGTTATCTCAATGAATAACCTTGACTGTAAGTTTTTACCTGTTCATTCCTAGTATATAAGAATTAGTTCCCTGATAAGATTCCTAAGATTCAATTACGAATGAATGTAAATTGCTAGCGCACAAAACGGAATGAAGAATTACATTTGTTTGTGTAAAACTACTGAAAATAATAACCAAGGGCAACTTACTGAGGACAGGGAGATTTTCTGTTTTCCAGAGTACCACTAGCAAATAATTATTAGCAAAACTTTTTGCTCAAATGCTTTCCAGTTTCAAGTACATAGCGCACAACGTTCCCCCGGCACACAAACACACACTCACATTATCAGAGCACTGAAGGTGCAAAAATCAAGTACTCCAATGTTAGCATGTGCCAATATTAAAGTTTGCAGGTGAAGAAAACAGAGCCAATTTTGCAGATACTGCAGATTAGAGGTAATAGGCTCAACCAGTCTAGCAGCAATAAGGCTCTTTGCCACTCCTGAGCTTTAAAGTGAACTGGGTGAATGTCCACCAACATAAACTGAGACAGCAAGAGGCTGGGCAAAATGCCCTCTTGGGTCTGACATAAGTTTCATTCCAAATGCATGTAATATTTATTTGTATGCCTAGAAGGACATGCACTGAATTATTTTAAAGTTTATGGGAATTTTTTTCATGCTTCCAAGTGGTTATATTCAGTTTCCCTCATTCCCCACTTACACAGTCAGAAAACGTCAGCTCCTCACAGCAATTTGATTTCCTGACATCCTAGCATCTTTAGAGCTGCAGTTACCCAATCCAAGTCTGGCTACATCATCGCTTAATATAGAACACAATGAACATGCTTTTTTTAAACAAGCTTTTTACACAGCACCTTTAAAAGGCACCATCTTAACAAAGAGCAAGAAAAGAATGTGTGCTGCACATTTACTCATTGAGAAAATAGGTTTTAAAACTATCGTTTTCCATATAAAATACTTTACGCATATTTACAAGGTAGATTCTTGGTATGCCTCACTTACTCTACAAAACATTTAATTTTAACTTGAATTAAAATAGGATCAGTTGTCACTTTGATACTTGAAAAAAAAACAAATACTGTTGCAATGAGCCTATCTAAAAACTGGTTGTTTCAGAGAGATTTTAGCAAGGCATAAGTGGACAGTCTAATCTGTAGCTGGTATCTATCCAATGTATTTCACAACTCTAATGACGCAGGCCGGGTAAGAAACGAAGAAACAACCACCACCACAACCACCACCTCACCAGCTCTGCTGCTAAAACCCCAACCTTTACATTGACCTTTACCTGCAATTAATTCCATTCTACTCAGCATGAGAAAGTGGGCAGAAACAAAGCATCAGCAGTAGAAAAGAGAAATGTAACAATGAAAATACAAATATAAACCCTAAAGGCTTGGTTCCAGTGTCGCAGATTTAAATCAGAGGAATGTCACTAAAGCTAATGGAGCTATTCCAAAGCAAAGTTAGCCTGAAATCAGAAACAAGACACTGGCATATTGCATGAAAGAGAAAAACACTGCAATTAAGTAAAAAAAGCTTCAAGATTAAATCTTTCTCATTATGTGAGAAGTTAAGTCTTAAGACAACAATATATTATGCAATCATTAATAAATGGAAATAAGGGCTCTGGGTTAAGACTGCTCATGAAGGAAGCAATGTCTTCTTTATGCTTGGAACAACACAAAATTCGTGGTCAGCAAAGGCTTTTTTTTTCTTTTTTAATATCCCGATAGCTTAAAGACATTGGAGATTAAAAAATAAATAAATATTTATAAATAAGTATTTATCAAAGGGATAAATATTGCAAATTCACAAATAAGAGAATGGAAAGGAAAAAGAATTACACTCCATTGCAGAAATCACTGCTTTTGCATATACTATGCTTCAATTTCTATCCAGTTAATTATTTCTGTAGCTTGGCTTACGCAAAGTAAATTTATGAGACTATCAGTAACGCTATCACATGCTCGGCTCTATCAGACACACGGCCTTCTTGCTCTGGCAGTTTTAAAATGTCATCACTTCCAGCTGCCTGCCCTGTATTTCAACCCCAAAGCTGGAAAGGCAGAGGGGAATCCATGCCTGAAGCTGAGCTGCTTTGCGCGCAGAGGAGGGAAACACAAGAGGATACACCTGTCTGCACCTTCCACGTATGTAAAGGTACTTACACATGCCTGCAGATTCTGCATTATAAAGCACCAATCATCTACAGAATTTAACATTGATGTTATCTTCAGTAAGTTTAAACAAAGCAAAACTTTTTTTTTTCCTAAATGCATCTATTGCAAATTATTTTATAAAAAAAAATACAAAATGCATTGGATTGCTTGGCTGAGCAAGGGTCAACAAGGACGGATCATAAGCAAATCAGGGAGTCTACCCATTCAAAAAACCAGAAGGGAAAAACAAATCACACTTTATATCAATAGGTTTTAAAAAACGCTTTACAAATACAGACACGGCTCTGACATGGATGTTACGTGCAAAGGCACATCTCTAAATTAAGCTGAATTCACCAGAAGATCAGGTTCCTGTTTTTTCTTGATCTATATTGTCTGTGGGCTTGTCTACACAAGACATTCCACAATCTAAGAGCCCAAATTCAGAGGCTGGAAAACAAGGTCTGTAAGATGTTTGCCCTGACACCTTCTATCAGTAAATCCTCCTATGCAAATTGCTTTTATCTTGCACTAAACTCCTTCCTCCACTGCAACATCATCAGGTATTTTACCCCTCATCGGCAGCTCTGGCAACATGTAGCAACTTTCCGGGAGAGCTGTTTTTCTGTCACTTCTGCGTCACAGAACTCCTTCAGTCTGTTAGCAGAACTGAGGAAACGGAGGAAAACACGCAGCCAGGATCGGGGTGAGGCCCTTCGGTAACACCTAGTCATCAGGTGTGCCCGGCTCTACCTTCCAAGCTCGCCCTCAGGCTGTAGTTTCAAGAGTACCTGAAGCTGAGCTGGGCTTCTGCTGCCAGCGGAGGTGGCTTCCACCCTTCGCTCGTGCCCACTGCGCCTCACGTCAGCACCAGCACTCGTGTGGCGTGGCCGGACCGGCGATCGTCTGTAAAGGGAGAAAGGAGGCACTGGAAGGAGGCAGCTGCCCTGGGGAAGGGACTCGCACAGCCCCGGCGCAGCCCTGCAGCACCCCAGCACGCTCACGGCACGGGGCACGCCAGCAGAGACCGGCAGCCAAAGCTTTGCAGACAAGTCATGTCTGCTATTACCTGGTGCGGTATTAGCAACAGCACCCCAAGGTAACGCAACCAAAATTAACAAAATAAATGGTATGTTCATTCTGAAGTACGGGAACTGTAACGCTGGTTTGGCCAATTCTAGTTGCTATTTCAGATAACGTGATCTGCAGATGTGCTTCATCTCAGATGTCTGGTTAGCACAAGAGTCAGAGTAAACAAACTCCCCGTTGTATCTACTGCAATACACTGGCTCACCCGCAACACGTGCTCTAGTTTTTTTTTTTTTTCAAAGGAAGAGAGGAAAAAAGTGCATAATCCTTCCCTCCACCACAAACACAGCATTTTTTTCCTTGTGATATGAAAAAGACCAAAACACGTGGTTTTAAAGGACTCTTTTTTTAAAAAAAACACTCTTGTTTTACAATAGAAATTGAGGATTCAAATGCCTTTAAGATGAAGTCTTTAAGAATACTGAATAGTAAACAAGAATTCAAAGTGAACAAGCTGATTGACACAGTAAGGAGTCAGTTGCACAGTAGAAGTTTTTTATTTTAATCTAAGACACTATTTTGAAAAAAACCAACCACAACTCCGAATGCCAAAAATTCAATAGTAATCAAGCTAATGACACACAAAAAGAGGCCCAAGTGCCCTCAAAAATTACCCAGCAAAACCAGGAACTGATTTGGACATGAGACTCGTGATTATTAAGTAAAACAAAACAAAAGCAAGCAGCGAAAAGGAACACCTTTAAACTGTGCACAATCTTTAGGTAACCCTTTTGTAAGTGAAAAGGTCACCATAAAGGGCACGCACACACCCACCGGGGAAATAAAAAGCCCTGCCTGCTGTCTAACCACGGGGAAGAGGCTGCGAAAACGTCACCACTCTTCCCCCTTGGTTTCCCTATCGTTTGTACGCATGTTCGGATTTAAAACCAAAACAAAACACAGGACAGGGCGCCGGTCACCGCACACATCCTGACGAACCGTCAGGGACGTCAGGGGGTTCAGCCAACTGCTCCCAGCTGCGACAGCAGCCAACCACACCGGCCAGGCCGGCCCCCCCCCCCAGCCGCTGCTTCCACCGACAGGAACTTTCAATACGCAGCGATATGAAAATGGGATCGCGTACGTCTGAAACCGCCACGCGGCACCGAGGGGCCCGCCCAGCGA